ATGAGAATATAGAAGAATTTTGAGTAAATTTTCTTCATAGAAATCATGCCCAATTCACTTGATCTATTTCCTTTTCCTTCCTTTCTTTGTTATGCGTTGTTTTCTTGGTTTCCATATCAATTTGTTTCTTTTACATATTTTGTTTGGGGTGATGCTATAGGGACAATATTTTTATACCACTTTTTTATATAACTTTCACATATTATTAAATGAGTGGATACATTCAATATCACATAGCTCCCACATGAATTAAAAAAACCAATCATTTAAATTACATAACCAATCATTTAAATTACATATCAGGTTGTACAACAAGGTGGGATAAAAAAGCTTTACAAAAATCATTTCCCTTTTGTCTATCAATGATTGTGACAAAGAAAATGTTTATTGGTTGTATCCTTACCACAAACATGATTTTTTTTTTCACCTGTTTCCCTCATGTTCTACATATGTTTGTTAGGAATTATGCTAGTAATTTTTTTTTTGTCTAATCAAATTAGTTGCTTGTGTATCACTAAAAATTTTTGCTAGGTTGATGGTATAGACATTTATGAAATAGTTTTTGTTTCTTGTAATCCAAAATAATCACTTGCAGATCTTTTAAAATTTAGGGGAAATTTTATTTATGAAGTTTTTGAGGATTTGTTATTATTTACCTTAAGAGATGCATTAGATACAAGAGAAAAAAAGAATAAAGCAGAAACTTTTCTTGAGAAATATGAAATTGGTGTTAGCAACAGAAAACTAAAAACTAAAAAAAGGGAAACAATAACAGAGCCATTTTTGTATTTTTTTTAAAAAATTTTGTTGGAGTAATTTCTTGTTTATTTTTAGTGATTATTGTAAAAAATTAAAAATTCCCTAAAATTAAAGTATGTGGCAACCATATTATATGGAAGCACGCTTAATCGACCCTTCGATTGCAATCTTGCAGACTTTGGTGATCTATCCCACCTTATTTGAATAGACAGTGACTCCGTCCATTTGGTATGTCAACACTGCTTCCTCTTTCTTGTCTCGCCTTCTTCATCAATCAATTCTTCTCATCATCAAATAACAAAATATACAAAAAAGCAAAAAATCTTTCTTATTTTTTGGTCCTAAGTTCTTTCAAACCCAACAGCTATTATTGGGTTCAATGCTGTAGGGTTCCATTGAACCCAGATCTAGTGTTTGGGAAAGGAGAGAGAAAATAAAGCTTGCTAGGGGAAGAATATGAACAATGAAAGAGGTTGGAGATGAAAAGGAAGGGATAACGAAAGGAGAAAGGAAAGAAATTGATGTGTGGTTGAATAATAGGGTAAAAATGTAATTTTAGCTTTATAATTAGTTTGAGATATTTTAATTTTAAATTGAAAATTACATGTCAAATCTTATTTATCATACTGTTGGTCTTACATGTCAAAATATTTTTACATGTTATCTTTTTCCATCAAGTAGGGGACACATAGCGGAAAATTTAACAGGGAGGACCAAATTGGAGTCAAAATAGGAAATGGTAAGGACCAAATTAAGGATTTTTCAAGTTGAGGGACTCAATTGAGGATCCGTATAAACCAAAATAGAGGTTTAATCTAAAATATTTAAAGCAAGAAACTAATATCTTAAAGGTATTCGACAAAACTTTAAAAATATTTATTTTAAAAGTATTGTTCCTTTTTTTTTTTTTTTTTTTTCTTTTTTTGGGGGA